TTTTTATGATATCCGTAAATATTATATTATAAAATTATTATTATTGTTATTATGTTATTAAAAGCGACCAGAATTGGTCAAGTAATAAAAGACTCTTGAGTTATTGAAATTCTTCGGCGATGAATATGTGCTCCGGCTAGACAATGCCGTTCGAAATTATTCAAATTTGGAGAATTGTGCAGGAAATGTTGTGGATAAATATACTTAGGCAGAATAGAAAGACTAAAGACTGTAATATTGAAATTGAATTGAGAACTATTGGGTTGGCAACTAACTAATTGCCGATTTCAGTTATAGATCTCTCACTTACATTTTTATGTGTGTGATATTCGTAAATGTTATATTATAAAATTATTATTATTTTTGGCCGAAAAGGATCAGACTTTCTACGAGCGTGGAATTTTCAAGTTGTCAGAGAGACGGCAAAAGGTCATCGAACAAAATGGAAAATACATTACAGATTAAACTTCGTTCCAAGTAAAAAACAATTTTTTATTTCATTGAACATATCGGCAATGTTGTCAACCCAATATAAGACTGGATTTATTTAGACTGTCCACAATTTTTATTATAATATAGCTTGGATTAAGAAATTTATTCAATCATTTTCCGTAAAAGAGTCTCTTTGCAATTTCAGCAACTTTAAAATTTAAAAAAAGGGGAAACCGTTCATGTCGACCGTCTCGTTAGGTTCAGTGTGAGTAAAAAAATGGACAACTTTGTAACGTAAATTCCGTAAAAATACAGAAACGATCAACGTCGAACGTTAGACAGTTTCATCGACGAAGCTGGCTGGTGATTGGCTGGCACGAAGAAATATACGCGTACGATCGTGGCTGGCGCGAGTGCGTCGCAGCGACGAAACAGTAACTCACGCAATTACCATCAGAAAGTAATGATTTACGCGGCGGTTTTGCTCGTTTTGTCGCCGCGCCGCGTTCCCAGCCACCGACGTATTATCGTTATAAATTTCGCTGAAGATGTCTAAGTTTTAAATCATCCGGATATGTGGCGAATAAATGATCCCTCGCGCGCGGATTCATAAATAAATCATTCCCGTTGGACGCGTCGTCGGGAGGCGACATTGTGCGCGGGACGACCGTATTTCTTTTTCCGCGAACTTTAGTGCTCGCACCTTGGCTGCCGGGAACCCCCGTCGCATTGTAAAAAAGAAAGGATCGCGTGTGTGGGATGTGTTCAACAACGTCGCGGTCGGGAAACATGAGCTTTGGCTTGTATTACATCGTGTCTGAATCATCCGCGAGAATTCCTCTTCGAATGTTCCGCATGCGGAATATTCTATTATACAGTAAATTCTCTCTAATTGACGCTCGGCTTGGAGACAAAAATGGACAATTTGGGAAGAGGAGATACGATCATTCGAGTCTGGCCACTCGTTTTCATAACTGTTGACAATCGGTAACTATAAAACCGAGCCGCAACGCTCGAATAATCGTATCTTCCCTTTCCAAATTGTCCATTCTTGTTTCCAAGCTGAGCGTCAATTAGGGAGAATTTAACCCTTATACTGGCCACCGGGCAAATAAGTGCCCATTCCCTGCAATTTCTTCGACAATATTTTCAGAAAAATATTATGAAGCTGCTCTAAACGTCTACTCTCTCGACACAAGAATTTGTAAATTAAAACAAAAATGCTTCGCGCGAACAATCTTGGAAGCTGAAGTTTTTATTGTAAATTACATACTTGGTTGACGTATTTTGACGAGCGTGACTCTGATGATTTCTACTATCAGCCTATTAATCATGAATGCTATCCCATTCTTTTGAGACGGAATAAAAATTCTGTTCTCTTGTCGTCAATATTTAAGCACCGAAATAAACGCGGATGCGCAATAAATATAAATTCTGAGAAATTACTACAGCTGAAAACGTTCTAATCATCGAACTGTGGGGATAATGGTAAAGAGTTAATAATACGATACGGCTTTACTACCATTTAATCTTCCACGAACGAAACTTCCAACGATGCCAGAAAAACTGGAAGTTCAAACAACTCGTGGTAACAGCATGTAAATCGCACTCCAGTTTTATCGTTCCCTCTATTAGATGAATGCGCATAGTTAACTTACTCTGACATAATATTTTATATTATTTTAATACGGTGATTCGAAGGAGTGGAGGCTTATTATGGAAAATATTAACGATTACTATCATTATTTGGGATGAGAAGGAGGGAGCGTTAACAGTGGAGGATGTTACAAGGAAACGAGCGAGAAAAAAGGGGGAATAAAACACAGCGAGAAGGGAAATAAGAATGAAGAAGTCGGCGAAACACGGGCACGAGAGAGATAGAGACGTATGAGGAACGTAGTAAAACGAGGCGCAAGTAAAA